AAACAAGCAGATACGTAACAATATACTTGAATGACAACTTCCAGACTACAGTTATCAAAACTTCACCTGATTGGTGCTATATGCTTTATGTTTTGTTTGGCAGAGTCGTAGGCTTCAGTCAGGCTCTTGAGTCGCAATTGTTTGACTTGGGACTGGGACAAAATGACTTGCGACTTGCCCATTATGACTATGGACTTGACTTGAGACTTGCCCATTACGACTTGCGACTCGACTTAAATGACTTGCTGACAATCCAAGTAAAACAAAATACATTCTTGAATTTTCCTGCAACAAACCTTGCCAAATGGACGTGGCGCACAAACTACCAGATGTTTACATAAGCTCCAAAGTTCATTGGTCTAGGATAACAACAAATTACTGTACGTGTACATGTACCAGTGAACTCTTACAATCTCAGTGTCAGGGTTAAGAACGCTAAATACGAACAAGATCCTCGCCCGGAACTCGGCTACTCTCAGAACATGTGCCTCTGCTACGTGCCATTATATACAACTTGTGAATGATACGTTAAATTTCGTACTTCTTGGAGGAGTGGTAAATAAATTAAAGAGGGGATGCCTAGAGAAAAAATGTTACATTCTTACTCTAGGGGAAATTCAGGATGTTTTTTTAACATTGCCTCGTGAAATTAAGAATTTAAAACTTATATACTATTAAAATATTGATTATTATCTACGATTTTATGCCATATTAATAGGTATAACATGAACAAAAATAGTTTAAATAAATTTTGAATGTAAATTTGATGACAACAAACCCAAAGGTTTGGAGACGACTCCACTAGGATTATAAACGTATGACCTTTAGATAAGATTATGTCACCCTCAGATACAAGTAGTTTACAGGGACACATGAATATGTTTTTATGTATAAAGTGTGGAACAAAGAGATCACATGACCAGATATTGGTTCACAGCCTAGTATAGGTATCTTGGTGCCCCGGGATGTTGGTTTTGGGTGGGTTGTTTTGTTCAATTAAGATAGCTTCCTTTATTCTGCGTTTATTGATGTTTGATTCTTTATTTAAAATTACAGTGTTTTCTATAGATATACTCTGGTTTTTAGAGTTGCGAAGGTGGTAAACATGGGAGGGTGTTTTATTATGTTCAGTGAATCTGGTTTCCAATTTTCTTCCAGTTTCTCCTTAGTACAATTCTATGTAATTTTTGTAATAATGATTTAAGTTTAGGGCAGGGTTTTGGGGTGAATTTGAAGTCAACAGGAATTTTATATTTAATGACAAGTTTTCTCCAACTGTTGGTTATTTTTGAACTGATGCCAGAGATAAATGGCAAACTGCAGTGTAATGTTGTGTTGTTGTTTGGTGTATCAGTGACAATTTTGTTTGTGAGTTTGAGGTTTTTGTTCTGGTGGTTGTGTGGACATTTTTTGACAATGGTAAGCGGAAATTTGTTGGTATGAATGAAGGAATACATAGATGAAGAAACCAACTCTATAAAGTATTCCTTGCGACTTGGACAAAATGGCTTGTGACTTGACTTCAGACTTGCAAAAAGTGACTTCTGACTTGTTACCAACTATGTTGTTTGGATTACTTTTTATTTCTGCCTGTCACCCTTCAAAGTGAATTCGCTATTTTTTAATGAAATGTATACATGTATGAATGAATTTTTACTTCACAGAATAATTAAGTGTACCAGACAGTAAAAAACTGGCATATTTCACACAACCTTAACTGAATCAGGAGGATCCCAGTTCAAAGTACAGTTATGGTAGATGTCTTTCTAGTTACAACTGATGATCTCCATCTACAGCCCTTTGTGAGACTTCAGATATGTTGTGATATTAAGATTAAATACAAAACAATAAAATGTATTATCAAAAATGTTCATTAAGTTGTTTTGTAGAAAATAAAATGTGTATGGAATGAAAAAGTGGTTTGTTTTTGTGTGAAAATTGTAAGATTAGGTGTCTATCTTTATTTGTATGATATTGAATCAAGCTGATCAGTTGGTGTACCCCAAGTTTTGGGAACTGGCTGTAGTGACGACATTCTTTGAAATTAAATGATCTAGATTGAGAGTTGTCTATCTGGAGTTTGAAGTTCTGATAATGGTACCCAAGTTCATAGAACACAGGTCTCAAAACACTTTCATTTTTTTGTTCAAGCTGTAATGAGAGTAAATTTGTTAATAAGTGAATTAGTACAGTATGTTGCTGATTATGCCAGTTATATCCCATAATGTTAGAATATACTTGTATGTTTTTCACTGAAACCAATACAAACTGTAGATAACTGTGCCTGTCATGAATATTTTGAACAACATAGTAAGGCAGATTGAATTAACAGCATCCATGATCTGTTGAATGAATTCTCCATTGTTGGTTAGCTGAAGTGGAACTAAAAAAATCTGCTTTTCTATAGGACGTTATTAACCTTTCTGCAATTATTCTGCTGTTTGTAGTATGTTATCTTAAAAATTATTACAATGTATAAGCTGCAATAAACATACATGATGCATTAAATATAAAGTTCAAAACTTTGATTTAATGCTAACATATTAGTTTCTAAATTGGAAAAAAAAAACTGAGTTTCAAATGAGTTTGTAAGTTAGACACGTTTGTTTCTAATACTTTAGTGCATATGTGAAAATAATGATAATATTACTAATGTTAACCTGGACATCATCAAAATTGTTTATAGTAATTATCTTTGTGTTTCCCATATTTTGAAAAGCTTTCTTCCTTTTGCAGGAATAGCAGTGATTCCGGCCATACTTCAACTCTGTTTGTTACCTTTTTGTCCTGAGAGTCCTCGATATTTGCTCATCTCGAAACAACAAGAATCACTTGCAAGGGAGGGTAAGTGCATGTGTTATAAACATGAAATAAGAAGTTTGTATCTTCAAAGTAAAATTATGGCTAGTTAAGTATATGCCTGCTGACCATTATAATACTATACTTGTATAATAGTCCTACAAGATTATGGTCTCTATAAAATGGCTAAAAATGTGTATACTGATCACCATAACATTATAAATGCTCATATATGTTATAAAGGTTGTAAGTGCCTACTTACCAGCATTAGATAATATTGCAGCCTTACAAAGGTTAAGAAGCTCAAGTCAAATAGAAGATGACATTGAAGAAATGAAAGCTGAAGAACAAGCTCATCAACAGGAAGTAGAGGTGAACTATTAGTATTTTTGTTGAATTGTAAATATTTTAAAAGAATTTCTTAATTATAAAGAATTTTACACTTAACATATGAAACATACCAAGCTAGCTTGGCGTTATTAACGAAACCATTAAAACCATTTGACAACTTTTAAGAATCATTTACATTTTCATCAGCCCACAATGATTGGTTGTAATGGTTGCCATTGAATAAAGCTTTATATGAACTTAGAGAGATACATTTCTGTGGTTTTCATTATTTTCAAACTTATTCCTGCTTATATGTACTCTCTGATTCCAAAAGAGTATTCAAGACTGTATCATTCCAGTTAAGTCACTTATTGTGTTTTATGTTCTTAAATTGAAATTTTCTAAAGACGTTATATAAGCTCTCTACAAATTGACCTTTTTAAAACTCAATATAAAACAAAATAGCATTGGAATCTTTGATAGTTTTAAAGAGTTAATACAATTTTTGTTTCATAAAAGTAAATCCTTAAAAAGGTGAGGTTATAAACAATGATAAGTAATTTTTATTACAGATTAAATGAATACTTTATTTAAGTAAAATAATAATTGTAATCTTAATTACATGCGAATCCCAACAGCTTCCATGAAATTTCATTTTATGTAGGTAAAATAAAACTAAAGAAACCGAAATGCTAAATTGGTAAACATACAATTTGTGCCACTACTCTCTGGAATCTGTGTACTATAGAAATAAAATATCCTGTCTTTGCTACTGATTTTTTTTTCCCTTCAGATAACTATGTGGCAGCTGATTAAAAATAAATCACTCCAGCTTCCTCTGTTGATCGGTGTTGTAATGCAGCTTTCACAGCAACTCTCAGGCATTAATGCAGTATGTATTTCAATTCATTTTTACAGAAGTTTTAGTTTATTACATCCATTTTTTTAGGTAAGTTGACATTAAGATCTTACCTGTAACATTTTTATTAATATTTACTCTCCACTTTAGGGATAAGTACTTTCATTTTATTTTAATAAATGTTATGTGATCATTTATTAGCACAGTAACTTTTGATTGTATGTGGTTTGGAGTTTCCTAATTTGTGCATCTGGAGATATTAATGATTTTTTTTACACTAATTGTCACTAGATATTGGTCATAAAATTGTCATACAGATTTTTATAACTCATAGTATTATGTTTACAATCCATAGTCACATTTATCACCATGTGTAAGAATGATATTTATCATTTTGATTATGTTAGAAAAACATGTAGGTTCAAGAAGTCTTGCTAGAAATGAGTAAAAACCCTATAACCCAAGCACTTTTGTAAGGTGGGCCTTTCTTCTTCAATTTGCTCCTGAAGAAGAAAGGTCCACCTTTCGAAAGTGCTCAGGTTATAGGGTTTGTACTCATTTATTATTTTGATATGTTTGCATTTTTGAGATATTTATAAGGTTAAATGCTGGTTGATGATCAAGGTTGCAAGGCCATAATGGAGAGGAACATGCTCAAAGAGAAAATTTATAATCTTAAATTTAAAATCAAAAACAGTTGAGGAATTTCATTATTTATCAACTTTCAAATGTATATTCAATTTTCTAAGTTATTTGAGTTACATTTTACATGTTATCACTCATACTTAATAAAATTTGAATTAGTTTGAAGATACAAAAATTAAGAAACTAAACATATAGAAGAATTAGCATATATATATATGTGTGTGTGTGTGTGTATATATAGACTCACACTGTCACAACATTTCAATTCAAGGTCTATAAATATTTTTGTCAAAAATGCCAACAGGTCAGATTCCACAAAATATCAATAATTAAATATAAAGTATAACTCTGTTTCATTATACACAGAACCACATTAACATTAAACTTGACAAGTATGAAACAGAAGTTTCAACTATGACTATAAAAGTAACAGTAGCTTAATTTTTGGTACACCCACCCACTTGGTTGAGGTATAGGCAACACTGAGTTTTGGGGCTAAATTTGGGTTCTTTTGGTTTCTGCTATTAAAGTAGTGTTGCCCCTCTGCAACTTGGTTGAGGTATAATAACACTTAGTTTTGGATTTGAACTTGGTTCTTCCAGATCCAGCTGTTAATGTATTGTTCTCTTTGTGTAACTTGGTTGAATTATAAGTAACACTGTGTGATGGACTTGAGTTTGATTTTACCAGTTGCTGCTAATAATGTGATTTTCTCTCTGTGCTACTTGATTGAGGTATAAGGAACAATGAGATTTGGATTTGAATTGGGTTCTTCTAGTTTCTGCTGATAATGTATTGTTCTTTCTGTGAGACTTAATTGGTTGGCATTCAGATTGACCAGTCAGTCAATTCTGCTTCCAGAATCAGGCAGGTAATAGCACTGCCTGTGTAGAGATGGCTCGGATTGTTCATTGAAATGGTCTTTTAAATATCTCCTCAATAGGTCATCAGAACTTTATAATACTATACAGTGTTTCCTTTTATAGCAATATCTATGTAATGACTGAGTCACAAGTTCTGGGTATGGAAATATCAAAAAGTTTGAATTCCTTGTTCTTCTTTCTTCTGCATCTTTTTTTATTACATAACTCAAAAACCAAAACTGGTGTCAACCAATTTCACTGACGTGACATAGTTTCAAACAGAGTATCTGTTTTTATAAGTATTATTATTATTACTAATTAGTAGTAATTAAAAAAAAATTATAATTTTAGTGTAAGCAATGTTATCATTACCCCTTGAAGTTAGCTTTCATACACAAAAGTAATGTTCCTTTAAAAATAGGAACTAGCAGCCAATAATAGATAAACAAGAAATATTACAGTTGGAACCTCATTATATTTAGAACTTGGTTATAAATACAACCTTTCAATGTCTATTGAAACACTGCATTAAGAACAACAAGTGCAGAAGTAAAGAAAAACTTTTCAAAAAAAGGTAGTAAATGTAGGGATGGTTAATATCAATCCTTCATAAACAATGTAAACAAGATAGTAGGGATGACATTTGCATCATCCCTACATAATAGCACAGGGAATAATTAACATATAGCAATATATATAACTATTCAATCACAGTGGAGTATAATTTATCCTATTTTTGTCTGTGAAAATTCTACTACACTGTGTGCCTGTACTATTATGTAGGGATGATACAAATGCCGTCTCTACTATCTTGTTTGTATTGTTTTTGAAGTATTGATATTAGCCATCCCTACATTTAGTTCCTTTTTTGAAAAGTATTTCTTTTCTTGTTAATGTAAGATTGACTTACAGCTGCCATTTTGCTTTATCAAACTGTCTTCAAAATATGATGTTTAGGTTAAGTATTTCCTATACTTATTCTAATATGTATTTTAATATACAATTTTGCTTTTATATTGCTATTTTTACTAAGTTTATGACTTTTTTTATAGACATGGTATCTCATGTTAACTAAATCAATGCAGAATGTGATTCACCCTTTATATGGTTTTGTAATCATGAAAATTTGAACTGTTAATTGTTATTGTAATAAATAAATACTGCACTAAACAATAACATTTTGTAAAGCTTGTTAAATTAAACTATTTATATCTCATATGTGCAGTTGCTTAAGCATTTTTCTAAATTAACATTTTCAGATTTTTTTAATACTCAATAATTTTAGGCTATATTTTGAATTCTTGACAAATCCACCGTTGTATATTTTAGCCATATCCTGAGTAATTAGGGTATATTTAGCATTGTGTGGACATTAGGTGTAGTTCCACTGATGAAGAGCAAATCTTCAATATTTACATCAGCAGTAGCAAAGAGAAAAATGGATAGCAGCATATGCCAATTTCTTCTTTGGTGGTTTGAAAGTATATGTACTTCAACAAATTACAAACTTCACTTTCTGTTTTCATCGTTTAGGCTTTCACCTTCCCTGAGGTTGGTTGTCTTTTATTTTCCTCATTTCACCTGTATCAGACATAATATTGTGATGATGATGAAAGCCAAAGAGACAAAGCAAATAGATTTGTTTATAATATGAAATTCATTATTTATGTAGCAACAAACATTTTACTGCATGCCAACTTCACTTGGCAGTTTAATGTATTATGAATTAGCATTTCATCTGCAACCAGTTCCATTTTGTGCACATGACTGAAAAGAAATGGCTGATGTGAATTTGTATATATTTCTTTGCTTTCTAATACATTTTTTTCAGAAAGTACAGAGAAAAATTCATTAAAAGAAGATTTAAAATATTTTGTTTAATCTCTATTTGATTGTGATCTATTTTATTCAAAAATAAAGTCCTTAATTATTCAGAAAAAAAGGATTGAATATATATATATCTATTGGTTTTAGTAAAAAAAATATTTTCTGTTGACCTAGGATTTTGTCACACTTCTTGAAATTTGAAGCTTATCAAATGTATCTGATGTTATGCAGAGATGACATATTTTAGTATAATTTCAGTTTAAATAAATATGTTTTTACCTAAAATATTCTCCAAAATGAGGGATAATACCTTACTATAATTTTTGTTTAACTTTGAAGTTTTTTTTTTTATGAAAGTTCCTTATCTTTTTATCCTAAAGGACAATCTTCAGCTCAGAAATGATGTACTCGAGGTGCAGGAGTTAATTTTTCAGTGTAAAATTGAATATTCTAACAAAATTAATCTGCTAATAGTTTTACTGTTGATCATAATGATTGGTCACAAAAGATACTGCTAATCATGAGAGAAAAATTAAAAAGAAAAATAACTATTTTGTGTGTGATTGTGAATTGATTTATAGAAAACCATAAGTTATAAGACTCCTGAATTCTTTGTTTTGTTTGAAATGTTCACCTGTATATTTAAAAGTAAAATTTTGAAACATTTTCCTGTGTAATCTAACAAAGATGTTAAAAAGGGAATGTTAATTGAAAACATTTCAATTTTTGTAATTAAAACAGCTTGTATATGTTTTTATACTTCCTATAAGGTACTCTCCCTCCCCTCATAAGATTAGCTTTTCTCGTTTTGTGCTGCCCTCTATATGCTAACTTTTTCAGAAACGCATGCCACAAGTCTTCATCCTCCCTCTGTTGGAATCCAAAGTTCCAACACGTCTCTCATGCAAATCGTCATGTGTCATCTCTCCATCAATAAGAGAGCACTACTATCAGGTGACACATGTGACTCCCTTCACGTGCCACTACCAAACTATCACTTCTCGTTTGGCAGCTGTTGAGTTCCAACCTTCTTTTACACAAACTTCAGTTACCTTGAAGTGTTTTTATTTTTCATTTTTGATATTTTTCCTAACTCTATTTACTATACTTCACAGGTGGAGTTAATATTTTAATAAAGCATTACTTCCTCGTGTTTCTTGCTTATGAATTCCGAAGTTACAGTCACCACTTCAGGTACTTCACTAGTGTCCGATGCCTAATTTTCACCAATGGGCGTGAGCAACTCATCGGGGTATATATCATTGTTCATTCACTGGGAGATTGAGCGGTATATGGGCTACTTCTGTCCCACTTCCTCCTGAGTCTTTTAGGCCAGGCTGAAGACGATTTTGATCGTTTGCCCCCCCCCTTCCCATTCACTACCTGATGATTCAGCTCGTCCATCATTGGTCTTTTTAGACTTTAGCTCTCGGGTATGTGGTTTTGTTTCTTATACCTGTTTCCTCTTACATGAAACATTTTCCCAACCCTATTTAGTCTTTCTCCCATCCCCTCGATAATAGGGTTCATGCAGACCAATTTAGCCCATTCCAATCGCCCTTCTTCTTAGGCCATCTATCAATAGCAAATGGAGCATTTATCGCTCCTGGGCATTGACTCAGGGTTTCTGGGCTTCTCACCCAACGGTTGCCTGTATCTCCAAGTTTCTCACGTAGATCTTTGAGAGTGGTTCCTTGG